ATGTTCGAAAGGTGGTGCACCTCAACATACGCACACACACACACACACACACACACGCATATACACAAACACACCCCAAAGGCTATTTAAGTCTTGCCTAGTACTACTGCCAAGAGAACCGCTGAGCTGATAATTCCCTCAGAAAGTAAAACAAACATAGCGATCACCAGCACTACAAAGCAATTGGTAAAATTATTGACTGTATAGTTAGTGAACCAAGCTAGTGATCAAAGTACCGAAACAAGTAGTATGCAATTATTAAAAAAACTGCAACATTCAGGAAAATACATCAAAAATAGAAATGTCAGTGAAGTTGGTCGATTGAAAATGGAATCTTTTGGGAAGTATAAGGAACAGAGTACTTTGAAAAGCGAGGAGGGGAGGGAGAGGCGGACGGGGAAAGGGAAGGAGAGGGAGGAAAGCAAGAGGAAAATGTCTATCGTTATGAGGCAATTTTAAGTTCCCGTAGAGGATATTTGTACCTAATAGATTAAAATGTTCCATTTTTCGAAAACCAAGGATTTTTAGTAAAAGAAATAACCGAAGTTTTGCAAATGCACTGCTTGCAACAAACATCGACCACTTCTCAGGACAATACAGTTCACTGATAATGATGATAACAAGAACAGCATTGATAACGAAAAATGAATAATGAGGAATCAATAATCACCTATTCGATTAAAGTGTGAAAATATCTGAATTAAATGCGACCTATCATAATTCAAGCAAAGCTTTTAAAAACCCGAAAAAGTTAATAGATAAAGCAAACTGTTATGCAAAAAACAGTTTAATATCCTCCTCGGTGATTGAAAGTTTTCAAGATCCACATAAGTTTTCAAGCATCGCGCCAAATAATAAGCTAATATGCAAACTGTGAAGCTAATTTGATTTTTTCGTAAATATTAGCTGGTTGCATTATTACTATTATTATTAATATTAATATTATTATTTGCATTACTACTGTTATTATTATATTACTACTATTGTTATTATTATGTAATGGTAAAATTACCATTTGCGCCATTTCTTTTCCTTTCTCTCTTTCTATTTCCTTGACTTCCTCCTCTTCGCTGCCTTCCCCCTCCCCTGCCTTTTTCACCTCAGCTTTTTTATAAAAAACAATCAATAATAATAGTCTGAGGGCTAAAAATTACTTCAC